CTAAGAGCTGGACATTTTGTTAAAAAGCTTTGTCAGATGATTATTTTCCTCATTGCCAAAGAAATGCACAGGTTTGCTGATTCCAAAGTTCCTCTCAGTCCTTGCATATCAGGTAGATTGGGGTACATGCAGCTTTGGGTCCTCCACCTTTATGTGCATCCTTCTACTTAATTTAGTAAAGCTGTAATTCTGTGCATGGGATATATAGATCCCCCTTCATGTATTGAACTCTGTGAGGGAAACATGAGGATATGTTCAGATCTAGAAACTTTTCCCAACTTGCTGGGACATTTTTCAGCAAATTAGTCCAATATGTAAATTATTAAAAATCATTATGTTAACTGAACATAAGTAAATCAGTGTTCAAACAAAATATAATTCAAGTGTGCTGGAAAACCATAACTGAATAGGGGTTTATTAACCTGCAGCTACTCTACTGCTCCTTTGATTTACTGTTCTGTCTGCGTGCCTCTGACCACTCATCCAGTACCAAGCACTTTGTGGCAAGCTGAATAGAAAGACTACCTTCATGGAATTTGCATTTAAAGTAATGTTTCCTTTTATCCAAAGTATATTTTTATTTCCTGTAAAGCACAAAGGACTATGCTATATTTAAGGATTATTTCTAAGTCTACTTCCCCTATTTTTAATAGAGATGGTTTGGGGCTTAGTTTTAGTTATTGCTAAAGGCTCTGCAGAGTTAAAAATGTATGTGTGTTTAATTTCCTAATACACACAAAAATGACAGACATGATTTCCTTCAGATATCTCCACAATGTAAAGCACAAAAGATGTTAGTAAGAATGGAGATAGATCAAGGACTTGAAAAGGCAAAAATGAAATTTAGTGGTAAACTACTTCATAAGTAGTTGCTGATCTAGTATTTCTGCCTTTGAAACATGGTCTGTTTCCCAGTTAGCAGTTCAGACATTTCTCAGACAATAAGAATTTCTTGTGACTTATCTCCATCAAGTAAGACTTATACAAGCTGCAGTGATACCATATGCTGAATTAAAATGCATTTCATAATGCATAATTTCTCCATAAACTTGTTATTTGTGCATATAGTATTGTATTCTTACTTTGCCCCAGTAACCTTGAGAACTAAGCATTTCCTGATTTTCCTTCAATAGTATTTTATTTGGCTTGTGTTATTTCCAACACTTCACAAAGTGTCTCTTCTTACTGTTGTGTGCACATGGAATTTTCTTTTTGTTTGCTATCTTATTACATTAAGTATACTGGTGTATTCAGTCATGGAAGTACTTTGTGAAATTACATCTATTATACCACTGGAATATGACCTGATTTATTATAAGATCAGAGCAAAGCTCAAGTGCTCAGTGCATTATCCTAAATTAAGCTTTGTCTCTGAGGGCTGCCACAGCCTTCATTTTTACCATTATGTTTTAGCCATTGATTTCCCTTTAGAACATAAATGCCATAATAATACTGCTTGGTAAATGTTTCTTCAATATTAAGTAACCTCTTGTTCTGCCAAAGGGAGTGTCAAATTCTCTTCCCAATCTGTCTGCCACATATTACTTCCTTTGTGCATCAGAGGTAAGCTACATAAGTTTGGTAACTCAGTTGTGGAAGAAATGCAGACTGCAAATCAAGTTGAAAGGAAGGCAAGAAACTTTTCAGAGCTTGCTTGTTTGCATATCTTTTATTGCAGTGGTTCCCAGCCCTTTCAGAGACCCTCACTGCTTTTGGATCCATTCTCTCTCTTTTAGTAATACGCGCTGTTCATGCCTCCCTCTGTGCCTGCACACTCTGCTTAGTCCTGAAGCTGTTTCCTCTGCACCTCCTCCTTTCAAAGCCACAGGCATCTCCTTTCTCACCTTCCAGAGCAGTTTGTCCTAAAGCAACCTGAGGGTGGGGAGGGGCAAAAGAGAATCAAACATTGAGGCTTAATGGAGCTGTGGGCTGGTAACCAGTGGGCTGTCTAGGTGAGGCTGAAGGGAGCTCCTAGGAGAGCTGGAAAGGCGCTCAGGTGAAAGTGGCTGTGATTTGGAGATGGGGTTGCAGAGGTTAGCCAAAAGCTTATCAAGAATATCTGTAAGCAGTGGATTTCATGGTTTATAATTTTAAAGATGTTTTATTTTTTAAATTACTTAGATTTGTATTTTCTGCCTTTATTCATGTATTGTAGGAGGAGACAATGACTAATCATTGAGAAATTTTAGCAGCATAAGATGTAACATTTCTGCATGATGCATGATTTGTATTCCTGTAATTTAATTATCTTGAGTGTTTATTTGAAGTGTAAATGCTGGAAACAATGACATTTCTGAGATGATTTATGAGGTACCGCACTTTGTAATCAAACCTTCTATGTGGTGTTTGTAAAATATGAAGTGTTATAAAATTGCTGATAGTCAGAAAAAGAACATTGATAATGGGCTTAAATTCTCTGTGTGCAGCTGCAGATGAGAATTGGTAGGAAACAGAGGGAAGCAGAAGCAGTGTCAGCTATATAGCAAAGATTAGTAACTGAGATATGGTATGTCTGAGAAACATGTACAGTCTTTGCAATGAACGTGATTTTGTGTTGAGAATTGTGTAGTTCCAGCTTTACATTTTAAACAACATTTTATTAGTAAAAGTTCTTGTCAGAGATCATAAAAATAGGCCTTAAACCAGCTTTCCCAGAGAAAATTGTGTGTGACCTTTCTGTGGGTACCAGAGAAGTTATTTCAGTGTATGCATGTCAAGAGGGTATTTGTAGTATATTTTATTTTACCTATTTCTAATGTAGCATGTAGAGAGAAGAAGTATCACCAAGATTCACCATGTAGATTCTTCAAGTAGGAACAGGTAGTGAGAGACAACATTTATTATTTGTGACCTGTCTTTCTAAAGACCAAGGGCTCTGTGTGCCATAGGACAGAGAACTATCGGTCCTGCCTTTCAGAAATAATTTTAAGCATGCTAATGTTAATAGCAATGGTGTTTAAAATGTTGAGGTGTTTTAAAAGGGTTTTAAAAGGATTTAAAAAGGGTTTAAATAGGTTTTCAATAAAGAATTTGGTATTCCTGCGAAGCTTCATACTTGAAACATTGCTATGTTATTATCTGAGCAGAATTAGAAGTTATTTTAGATTATGAGCTGTATATATAATCAGTTGCAAGGCCTAGCTGTTCTTGAATGTTCTTCTATGTGATAATACAAATATTTCTGATATAAGCAAATAAATGCATAATACGTAAAAACAACAAAGAAGAAGAAAATGGAGTAATACTGAGTTTTGGAAATGACCTGGATTCGATAAGATTTAGATCAGAGTAGCTAAAAAAAGAACCGAAGTGGAATTGTCATTGACTGTGAAACCAGTTGCCCAAACCCAAACTTTTCACAACTTTTATTAATAAGGCAGAACATAACATAATATATACTTTAGACTGCAGTAGGAATTAGTGACCTGACATAATCAGGGCCTGAGAAAGGAGAGCACTGTGCAATACTTCATTTTAAAGATACGTGCTCTTACAGTTCCAGAAGGCTAAGAAGTCCTCAGAATACTTTGCTAAGGTGAGTAAAGCCTCTTTCCCACTTCAGCTTACTCAGCTGAAAAAAGAGTCATAAAGATTACAAGGAAAACACTTTGTTGCACAATGACTGTCCCACCAGAGAGAAATTCTTTGAGACAGTAATAGTGACCTTGTTTTTTACGAGCATTTCGAGAGCAGAATTACAGATATAGTTCTTTGTTGGATCTTGGTGCTCTCGTAAAGCTGATAAGGAAGGAATGACGATGGGTCCTTTTTAAATTTCTAAATTGTAACCTAACCAATCTAGGCTAGCTCTCTTAGAAATTAGTCTAGAGCACGGACTGTGAACCAGGCAGAGCTCAATAAATAGAGAACATTAACCTCATATGTGTGCATATACTTCAATTTATTAAAACTGCATCCAGAGTAGCAAAATAAATCAAGAGACTTAATGATGGGATTTTATTAAGAGACTTTGTTTTAATTATTAGGACTTAAATTTTTGTACTATGTCAGGTATAGTTTTTAAATTTTATTTTAAACCTAGGTTAATGGGACAAATTTTGTTTTGGAACTTTGAGTACTAATACAAATAATTGCAAGCACATAATTAATACAGAAGAGCAATAAAGTACTCGATGGAGAGAATTTTGTAACATGATTGTTTTTCCAGCCATTGAATGAAATTACTGTTTTGCCCAGGACTGTTTTGTGTTTCCTGAAAATGTTATTTACTGATGCATGAGTGTTTCTATTGTAGAATAAGTAGCAGGACACTGTTATTAGCCTCTGCTAACATCCTGTTCCAGTGGCTTTATCACATAAATAAATGAATGCATAAGTGTGCATTGGGATGAATACTTTGGGTAAAGGCCAGGCAAAGTAATAATCACAGGATTTGGTGTGACATTTTGCCAGCACTCACACATATTCCTGACTTTTCTAACATTTGTTTTTCAACTCATAAATATTTCTGCAAAGTAAGTACACTGTTAAATGACACTGGCTTCTGTGGAGAGCTTAGGTATATTAATAAAACGTGAGACAAAAGGTATTGGTGCTAGATGGTTTTCAACTAGGCGAGAAAAGAAAAAAACAGCATTTATTAAAAAAGAGTGTTCTGAAGAACAAAACTTAGTTGTCTCTATTTTTGTTACTTCCAAGTACACTCTTACTTTTGAAAACAAACAAACAAACAAACAAACAAAAACAAAAAGAAATTTACAACTTACAGTAAGAAAAGTAGATTTGAATACCCTGTGAAAGGGAAGAGGTGTTGATTGCAAGCTGTTGATATTCAAGGAAACCAGGTTGTGTACTATATAAGAACCAGGAACAACTTCTAACATCCTATGCTTCCTAATCCCGATGCAACTTTGATCATTTCTCCTTTTAAGATATGTCTATAACTGGACCTAACAATGAGAACTGCAACTGCTCAGCTCAGACAGATAACTTTTATGCTTTGCTTTTTCATTCTAATGAAATCTTTCTCTCCATTTTAGACAAATATCACTTGCTGTGTCATAGCACATGGATTTCAGGACTGCCTGTGAAGAGGTAGGATCAGATATTTTTCTTTTGAAACAATAGTAGAATGAAAACTCAATGAACTTTTAATCCTTTTTAGATGCAGTATTCTTTTTTTTTTAACCTTTTTTTCCTGAAATTTTAGGAATTATATAATCAACAATAAGTTATTCATCTGGTCACTTCATGGTGGCAGATAGACTTTGTAGTAGAAGATGAAAGAATTTTTCCAGGTGTATTCATTACTAGACCTCACCTCTTTCTGTTACAATGTACCTCTTTAGGCACAATGTAGGTGCAGGTAGCTATGTTTTGTGTGAGCTTTGCTCTTTATGAAGTGTTTATAGCTGAAAGCCTGTACACAAAGAAAAACATCAATGGAGTCAGAAATCTGTCTGGTGCTGCTCAGCAGAACCAAGGGGGATCTGAAAAAGTATGGGAAAAAGGTGGGTTGGGAGAGAAAAGAAGCTGTGAAGATGATCAAAATGAAAAGCAGTTCCATTTAGATTTAATGAGGTAAGAGAGTAATTTTTGCCTAAAATAGGTATAGTTTCATAATGTCAATGCAAAGTACGTCAGTCTCCCTCCACTAGAGATGAGGGAAGTGCTTTGCTTTCTGTGTTCATACTAACTTTGCCTTAAAGAAAACAAATGAAATGTATGTGTAGATGTTAAAAAGGGCATGTTATGCAGTGATTTTTTGTGAACAAGTTCTTTTAACATGGTTTTAACAACTTCAGCAATTCAGACACATCGAGAACCATTTACACCAAATTGTGTAATGATGTCAATGCATTATTATAATTAAAAATCAGGACAATTACCTATACACAGAAAACCACAAAGTGTTTAGGAAGTTAGGACTCAGAACAAGAAAACTGGCTAGAACTTCAAGTGTGAAGGGATGGGAACAGCAGTAGAACCAAGAACTAATCGCAGGTGAAACCAACTGTGATTTGAGAATCCATTGGAGTAAATCAGGGGAGAAGAGAAAATAAGCAGGCAAAAGAACATTAAATCATGATGACATTCTGAAAGGAGTAGTAGGGTCAAAAACTAATATTAAAGTGAAACTTGTCTTTGGGAAAGAATACTGTGATGCTTGTCCAGGGTGGTACATGTCAGGCTTTAATACCTCAGAAAATCCATGCACAGTCTAAATTTTATAGCAATGTATCCCAGATTATTTGCATGGAAGAAAGCATTCTTATTAGTTTTTAGGTTTGGTTTTTTGAATAGAATATTTTCGGTTGAAAGGTATCTGCAATGAGCATCAACTTTGTGACCACTTTGTGGCTGATTAAAAGTTAAAGCATGTAATTAAGGGCATTTTGGTTTAGGTTTTATGATTTCTTTTTAAATGCACTTATTCAGGAAGAGAGGCAGATATAATTTTCATAGAATTTTTTTATGTTGTTATTCTTTAAACTGTACACTAGTAGAGATTATTTAGTGGCAATTAACTTCAGCCTGTGCCCAGCAGCAGTAATGACATGGGCAGCCACACGAAGATGACTTGGCATGTGCTTCCTATCTTAGTTTTTACAGTGCAAGTACATTGACAGATCTATTTCATTCTGTATCTAGCTTCTAAGGAGGCATTGATTTCAAATGTATCTCTTTAAAAAATCAACTACTTTGTTGGAGCTTCCATGACAGACAAGGGAAGGAGAGGATGATTCCACACATCCTAAAAAAGCTTCGTAATCTGGAGGTCCTAAGAAGGCTCCTGTAGCTTTTAGATTAATAGAATTAAATGAGGTGGATTCAACCCGTTTATATGCTTTGTGTAAAATGGGCTTTGTGCTACAGGGTCAGTGGTGTCACTTCTGAGACTACGGTCTACCTCTTTCCTCCCAAACTGAAGTTTATAAAATATAGACTTTCAACCCACTTTCATCAAACTCCTATGTCTAAATAAGTTATCAGCAGCCTTATACTTGCACAGTGTAATTTTTAACTGAAACCTTAGCACTATCACTGTAATGCACAGTCTACTATGATTTTTGCTTGGGGGAGGATACAGTGAGCTGGATCTAAAAACCCACAAGAACAGAGGATGCTGCAGCTCTGTATGCCCAGGTTCAGACAGTAGTGAGGGTGAAGATGTATCCCCAATAGGCATATGCAGACAGGGCACACACATACACTACATGTATCCATATATATGGATATACTTATGTACATGACCAACCACACAGATCACGTACCAACACACAGAGCACTTACACAGACAGCGACGACTTCATCCTGTTACTCTCTCTGGCTGAGCAGGACTGAAAATATATGTCTGTGTACACTGTGGATGCCTCCAAATGTCCTTCCAGACAGTGTGCCCAGCAGCTACCCCTGAATCCCAGTTTTCATAGCCCCTTGAGGCCTCACCCTCTCTGCAGCTGCTGGTACAGACTGTCTCTCTCTCTCACATACACACACACACACACACACACACACAAAATCACCCACTATAGAATCTCTCACCCAGGAAAAAAATTGGAAAGTAATTTAAAGACAATAGGACAGACTACATAGGTCGGGCTCAGGGCATGGTCGGACAAGGACACTGACTAGAAAACTACATATGACCAACCACTTTTTTTCCCATAACTCTTTGTTTTCCCATACTTGTTCCTCCCCAAAACACTGAATCCCTTTCCCTGCCTTTGCGTCCTTCCTTAAACATCCCATGATAGCTCTGGTGCAATCCAAAACTACATCCCATGGTGTGTCCCATGCTCCCTTGTGGTGACCTCGACTCACTGCAAGAGGTGCTATGGCATTTTCTTATCATAATGGTTTTCACATTCTGACACTGGAGCTGAAGCTGTCCTGGGACAGCCCTGGCAGGGGACAGAGACTGAGTGTCCCTTTCTGAGTCAATAATTTGGCTTCCCCCCTGCCATTCTGCTCCTGGAGTCCTCTGAGCTTGTGGTAATGGGCTCTCAATAGGCTGATGGAACTGGACAGGGTGTTATTTGGACTTCGAATTGCACCATTCAAGTATTAATTAATTACTTAATGAGATTTTTCACAAGGTCAATATGAGGTGTAATCATCCATTCTATTAGGTATTTCAGTTCCCAATATGTACCTTTCAGCTATTACTTTTAATAAAATTTCCTTAATACCTTAAAATTTGCCAGATTTGTCACCAAAACTTCATCTGGTGCTTGAGCTTAGGAAAGTGATGATAGTGACAAAGGAAAATACCATTGTGGCACTGTATCCTTAATTAACTTGTGATTCTATTCCATCTTGGCACATCTTTGGCAATAGTTTAGTCACTCCAAGCCACAAAGATTTTGATATTATTTTATTTATTTCAACTATTGACATGAAACATAAGGTAGCTGTACACTTTGCTCGAGGTAATTTTGTTTAATTTATTAACTAGTCGGTACATTTAAACTTTCAGGCTTCTGTCCCCTCCATCTCCTACTGTATCAAATTGTCAATCATACTACATATCTTGGAAAAATATCTCTGGTCTTCTATGCCAAAATAGTTACTGAACAGTTTTGGATAATGGCGATAAAAGCTGTCATGAAGCATCTGGACTATTTGATATTCCTCTTCTTCCCCTTTTTGTTTCCTTTCATCTGAGTATCTTATCACCCTTCCCAGTGCTGTAACAACCACCACTGTAGAACTGAGATTGCTCTCCCAAAATGACAACTGGAGCTCAGATTCTTGTTGATACTTCCATCCTTACTAGTGGCAGTAAATGATTTGAGCTGTGTTCTGATTAGCATAAAACCAAAATATTCCACATAGATACACTGAGGCGAAAGCACGGCTTTTAGTGTTCATGACATAGTCAATTTTTTTTCATTCATTCTAAATATCTGCTGCTCTAGTGCATTGGGTGTCCCTGAGGGAATCTTAGTTCTTCCACAGTACTGATGCTCTCATGCCTCCCTTATTTTTTGTGGTGTCTACTAGTGGGATTTGGACACTGAAATGGTCTTGTGTGCTTGTAGGTACCTGCATGTGCACTTTGTGCCCAAGTTCCTTCTGCAGGTCTGAATGGTACAGTCAGTGCTATTATAGAGCTTAAACACATATATGTAGACAGATAGAGTTTCTTGTCAATCTAAAGATGATTCCTATGGTCCTAATAATTACTTTCTCCCCTAAGCATCTTATCTTTAGGCTGTGCTGCCTTTCAAGGCATTGTAAAGTAGTTTTATTCTGCAAAAAAATACCTTCTATGCTAGACAATTTAAAAGGCACTACAGAAAGAGGAGGCCTTACACACATACACACATTTTCTTTTAAGGAAAACTATCTGGTATCTAAGGAGGGGAAAATTATATTTTTTTGGTGGATTCTCCACGTGTTAGTTGTGGGAAGTTTTTCACTGTTTCATATTTGATTATTCTATATTCCATGCTCTTTCCCTCACTGATCAGCAAATGTACCAATTTTACTTTTTCTTGTACTTAACAATTTCTAAACCATAAGACTAACCACTTCCTCTTTTACCCTTTATCCTGAGCTTTCTGAACTTTACAAGGGTATAAATCATGAAGTCACGGGGTTCTTTAAATGCTCTCCTGTACTTGCTTGACCTTATTCTATATTCTGAAAACTATCTCTTGGAAGATAACCTCAGTCTCTGACATAATACTGTCTTCTGCGGTGAAAGTACCCTTCTGATGAAATTGCAGACTTGGGATGATTATAATGCATAAGGACATTTTCCCCAGGATACTTTTTAATGTTTTTTTTAAGTTCATATTTTCCATGCACTTTAAGAACAAGCTGCATGAACAGCTTTCTAACTTTTCTAATTTTCTAACTTTTGATATCTCATTCTTTACTTCTAATAGCTTGGCTTTTTTTTTTTTTCCCCTGAATATAACATCAAACTTATTTAAGTTAATAAATGCCCCATTTATTTTCATGCTTAAAATCTATTAATCTATTTTCACAGTACTGTCCATTGTTTGTTTGAAGGATTAGTTTGAATTGGTAAACTTTTTGTGTTTCCTCTGCTTTATGAATTCTATGAATATTCTTGGTGACTT